AAATCTCTGAACGCGTAAAGTTTTTATTTTTTTCAGTTTTCGCTGTCATTTCTCATGAATGAATGGTCACTTCCTTGTATCTGAGGCAGGAAACATAGCCTTATATGGTGTTTTTGGGGTGGTAATTATGCTAATCTCCTCTCGCGTGCACGAGCAGCTGGATAGAAAAGGTGTAAATTACGCAGCTCATTTACAAACTTTTCCTGAAGATAGAAGAGTTTGTTGAATCTGACGTGACGTTCGTACGAACACTTTGTACGAACAAAAGTAAGAGAAATTTAGGATAAAAAAACGAACATGTTCTTGCATGCGGCCCACTGTTACAACAAAGAAATAATCTACCAAACTCTAATTTCCTCACTTTTTGTGCTAATCTTAGATACTTAGCCAAAACTTGGTGTGGTGCTCGTCAACCCCAACTCATATTTATAACTCTAACCAACCTGTGTTTCAAACTTTACACTTACCTTTTGGAGACAATACTGACAGGCCGCTAACTGAAGTGTGGTAGTATCTGAAAGTTATTCATAACACTCTGACTGCTGACATGGTGCAAAATTGGCTAAATTATGTGAGATTGCACATGTTGTCAGGTGTTTTGTTTCAATGAAGGGCAGATATTATTTTTAAAGGAATGTTGTTTAACGATAATGGAAAGAAAGTATTAACTTAAAATCCAGAGGGGAAAAAAACACCTTTTTAAATGCTTTTTTACCTTCAGTAATGTTGAAATCAATTAGTAACTTTTGCTTCATTACCTTTTTGTCTGGATTTTTAGCTAGGATCGTGTCTTTCTCCGTCAAAATCAAACCATCAAAAAGTAGAAACTGTTTATTTTTGTTGAATGTGGGTGAACTCACTAAATCAGCAGGGGAGCGTTTAATTATTTCCCACACTGGAACTGTGCTGAGGATAAGTCTGTTGCTTTCAGGTTTTAAGGTTGTTGAAGATGCTGTTTAGCAGCATGCTTCAGTAGATCAGACAAATGAGCCTCAGCAAGTGGGCATGAAAGGCATAATAATACAGACGCACAGCAGAGATTACAGCTATACCGTGCTAATACGGGGATAATCCTGGTACAAGCGTACACATCAGTTCTTCTATGCTTGAGGGGACTTGATATTTTAAATATTAAGTCATTTCTCTTTGGGATGAATTAAGTTATTTTGACTCTGATTATTATTTAAAATTTATTACATAACCATGACTACAAAATCTATCTTAAATGGAGATTTGAGGCTCACACAGACCTTTAGAATGAGCCAAAATACATTTAATCTCAAACCACCTGGAGCAAAGCCCAGAACTTTGCCTCTTCACAACAGTGTGAATGCTGACTCAGCAATGACACTTTTGTTTTCTGTTTTGTTTTGTTTTATTTGTTTTCTGTACATTTTTTTACAGTCTATGTAATTCTGCATACTTTGTTAGTCCTTCATATAAAGGATCAGAAAATTCAGGACATTTTGGGGTTTTTAATTTTTATATGGTCATTCAATAATGATCTAATTTTATTAATAAATGTATTTTCT